TTTAATAATCATAATAATATATTACAAAAACATATAAAGGTAAATGAGTTTTTAATTTAGAATTATCAAATTTATAAAAACTAAAATTAAAAATCAAAAAGCACAATTATAGTAGATAGAGCCGTAATTTGCTTTTTCTTTTTTTAAATAGGCGATAAGATAACTTATATAAGTCCTTGATTTTTTTGGCCAATACATATATATAATAGTATGTATCAGTCTTGGCTCAAAAAAAAGAGTCCTAACTTCAAAAAAATTACCATGTAATTAATATTTTAAAATTAATCTAACATTTATAATCATTTGATAAAAAAATCAATACATTAGTTCTAATAGGCCTAACTTTTTTTTTCTCTTTTGATCAGCAAAGCAACATACGAAATATATTAAAAAAGGAGCATAAGAAATACTCCCAAAACAAAATACAATCCGGTGAACTCAAGTTACACAACCAAATTTACCTACATCAATCAAATACACAAAAGCAAGAAAAAACCACCAGGAAACTACAGGAGAAGGAAATAAAACTAAGCCGGTTTCTGCAGCTTATAACGTTTCGAAATTTTATGATATTGCTCAATAGCTTCCCTACTTCATAAGAAATTTGCAGCCTAACTACTTTATAAGAAATTTAACACCATTAAATGTATGTCAATAAATAGAGTTTGTTTGGTCAAAAGATTATAAGTGTTAAATCAATATAAAAATTAACATACATGATCTACTTAATTGGAACTTTCAATCCAATGGTTTTTTAAAACATTAATTAGAAGGTAAGTTTTTAGACAAGTCATCCAAAAAGAATTTTAGGAAAATGACCTGCACTACACTATCATATATATATATATACAACGCATTTTAGTCCCAATTTTTAAAAAAATTAGACTCCCAACTTCAAAAACACTACCCTCTAATTAATATTTTTAAAAACTAACCATTAAATTTAATATTTTATTAATATAGATCATGCATACCTACTTTTAAGTTAATCTAACATCTATAACCATTCAATTAAGAAACTTATATTTTTTAATATATATTTAACGATGGCAAGTTTTTTATAATCAATTAAATATTTATATATATTCATTTAATTTAAAAATTAATATGTATAATCTACATGAATAAAA